GTCTGAGCACATACAGTACCAATTTCAGAACAAAAAAGGAAAGATTCGGCAGATTTCAGACCTGTACGGTTTAACAGTCTCAACCTACCAGCCTTCCAGAATGTCTAAGAACATTAATCAGCAGGAGAGATCCTTAACACTTATAATCAAGCCAAAAAATTGAGATAATAGGTCATCCTTGACCTACAGTCACTTTAACACAGGAACAGGATCACACGATCCAAAAAAAAACAAGAGGTATAAACCTCGCAAAGGTCTGACAGCATTCAGCAGCCCAGATTCATTTAGTTTTTTCACTTGGTCCACAACCAAGGAGGGTAAGGAAGAGAAAAAAGGAAGGACGTACCAGTCGTAGATGTATTTTCTTCAGCCCAGATTCAGATCTCTGTTCCGCCCAGATTCAGCAAGTTGGAAAAGGAAGGAAGCCTGTTCGATCTGTTCTCTCAGTCAGTATTCCCGCTCTGATACCATCTTGACAGTGTGGCCAGCCAGAAATAAGAGGAAGAGAAGAGAAGAGAAGAAGAGAGAAGGGAGAAGAGAAGATGAGATTGGCAATGGAACAGTGCTGGCGGCGCCAGCTTCTATTAGTATATATAGGGCGACTAAAATAAAAGGGGAAAAGACCCTTGTGCCCCTCTGTAAGTGAAGTACAATAATCAGAAAAATAAAAAAGACATTAATCAACCAAACAGACCCTACCAAGACAAGACTAAAAGACAAGAAATAAAATAAACTATTTCAACATAGATCATCAAGGAAGTATTGTGGAATGTACTTTTCTTGCAAATACCTCTTCATCTCTGCCCATGTGGTAATAGGATATTCACCTCTATTTTCTAGTCGCTACTCAAGAGTTCTCCACCATACTTTAGCAATACCCGCGAGCTTCATGTGTACAAATTTGAATCTTTGTTTTTCAAACATATCATGCCAATCAAAATATTCTTCTAGTATAGCAATCCAATCAAAGAATGCTTGTCGATCTTCATCTCCCTTGAAATTAGGCACTTCCCTTTCTCTTCTAACATTCTTGAAAACCTTACTCCTATAGCCGACATTACCAGATCTACTTTCTTCCACCAATTTCTCAAGTAAATCAACCATAGACCCTTCATATGGTTCAAAAACCCTATCATCATTGATTCTAGACTCGTGAGATTGTTTAAATGATACCCTAGGCCCATAGAATCGGTCACTTTGTGAGAACATGGTGACTAACCATTAGCTCTGATACCAAAACTGATGCAGTAGGGCTGGAACAAACTATCACAAGACAAAAAAGAGAGAGAAGAGAGAGAGAGAGAGAGTAGAAAGGGTAGAGAAAGAGAAAAGAGAAAGAAATCCCAAGGAATCACTCCAAGGGGTCCTAGAATCACTCTAGGGTTTGTAGGAATCACTCCATACAGAAAACTTGCTCTAAAGAAATTTTCATTCATTCATTAGCTTCAAAGGGAAGAGAATACATCTATTTATAGAGTGACTTGTTTGGCCTGGAATACTGTTCACCATAATTACAAAAATGCCACTCCTTGCCTTGTGCATCAAGAAACACATAACTTTCTATCTACTAATGCAAATAAACTGAAAATTGAAAGACAAGCCCTACTAAACTAGAGGAGCAAGATGTTATAGCCCAGGCCCACACAGGACTAGTTAAAATGATGAAAGTACCCATACTGTCCAAATATATAAAAATACAGAAAATTCCAAATTTGATTCTTCAGCTCCTCCATTACAAAGACTTGGTTATTCTAGATCTATTAGATGATGTGATTAAGGTTTAAGAATGAAGAAGAATAGAGAAGAGAGAAGAAGAGAGAAGAGAGAAGGTCCAGGTGAGAGTATGCCCCACAACCCTCTCTTCCAATATTTTATTCATTATGAGAACATAGCATGAAAGTACATAATTTTCCATACAATAACAATGGATAATTCCCTCCTACAAGTCCAATACAATGGAAATACCCATAATACCCTCTATATGCTTATATAACCATCTCAACACAAACTCACAAAGATATACTATTACTGATTATTTCTATGAAGAGGAAGAAAAATCTCCACACCTAATGAAAGTAAATGAATCTAAAAGAGGAAGAGGTAGGGGAATCACAAAAAGGACACGAGATGAAACGGTAATAAAAGACTTGAGTATTTACAATCCCTTGATTGAGTGGATCGGAAAAAGGCGAAGTTCAGGCCTCGAGCTGTGGTAAAGAGAGTTGAAAAGATAATGAGAGGTTTCCTTTGGGAGCCTAGTGAAGGGAAGAAAGATCATTTAGTTAGATGGGATAAGGTGATGCAATTGAAGATTGAGGGGGGTCTAGGCATTGGAAATGTTAAGTTGAAGAACTCAGCCTTTTTGAGTAAATGGCTTTGGAGATTTCCTAAAGAAAATTAGAGGTTGTGGACTAGAGTTATTTCAAGTATCCATGAGCTGTCAAACAACGGTTGGGATGTGGGCTGCTTACATAGAGCTACTCTGGCTGCTCCTTGGAAGGCTATCCATGACAATCTTCCTGTGTTCCTCAATCACATAAGGTATGATTTGGCTTTGGGTCAGAAAATAAGATTTTGGGAGGATATGTGGGTAGGGGAAGCCCCCCTTTCGGAGGTTTTTCCTTCTCTCTTTGAGCTTTCTAGTTTCAAAGGTAAACCTAGTTGTGATTTTATCAGCTCTTCCTCGTACCTTTCAAACCTGAGTTGGAATCTTGGCTTCACTAGAAATCTGAGAGAATCTGAAATTTCTGATTTCTCAGCTTTGCTTCTTCTGTTGAGTTCAGTATGTTTGGGGGAGGGTGGTTCAGATTCTAGAGTGTGGACCCTTAGTCAGTTGGGCTCTTTTTCCTGTAAGTCCTTTTTGAAATCTCTTACCTCCACCACCCCCTCTCCTCATTTCCCTGTTAAGGAGATATGCTCTCGGCCCATCCCTCCAAAAGTTAATGCTTTTTGTTGGGAAGTGTTTCATGGATCCATTAACACCTGTGATTTGCTTCAAAGGAAAAGACCAAAGTGGTGTCTGTCCCCAAGTTGGTGCTCTTTATGTAAGTTGTATGGTGAGACTGCCTTTCATCTTTTGATCTCCTGTTCTTTTGCTACTTCTATTTGGGAGTGGTTTTCATCTCTTTTTGGATGCAGTTGGCTTCCCCCTGATTGTTTGGAAGGTGTTTTTAGCTCTCACCTTTTCAGCTGCCCTAAACGAAGAGGCAGAATTATGTGGAGGTGCACTAAAGCAGCAGTGATTTGGACAATTTGTGAGGAAAGGAATCTAAGAATCTTTGAAGACAAGGAAAGAAGTAAAGAAGCTGTGATTGAGGTGATTACTCTCAAAGTAGCACATTGGGTGAGCACTTTAAAGTTCTTTGCTGACTTTAAGGTTGAAGATTTCTGCAGATCGTGGGGAATAATTGCAGGTTCTTCGTCTAGAAGACAGATTGTTCATGAGGCCTGGTCTCCTCCATGTGTTGGGTGGAAGAAATTAAACTTTGATGGTAATTGTATGGGCAATCCTGAACCATCGGGTATTGCTGGGGTAATTAGGGGAGAAAATGGAAACATTCTAGCTTTGTACTCAGGTCCTGTTATGGACGCATTCCTCGGGAAGACGTACCGTCGCCACTGGCAGCAACAGGCACCTGACCCACCGCCAGCAGCAGCAGTGATTCAATGATTCTCATCCTACCCAGTTCGACAACAGCAGCCTTATCTAAATTAGATTAGATCATCTTGCTTGTTCTTATCTTATACTATTGCTCTTATCTTATCTTGTTAGTAGCTTATCAGATTAGGATTAGCTTATCTTATCCTTAGCAAGATAGAACTGGAAGTCTCCCTATTCAGCAAGGAAACTCCTTTTGATTAGGACTCTTGTAATCTCCTATTTAAGGAGACCCCATTATTGAATGAGGATATCAAATTTCCAGTCAAGAAAGAGAGTAAAAGGAGAGTTCGGTGATCTCTTGGACAAATCACCCTCTAGGACGCCAAGATAGGTTCAGCTAGGAAGGGGAGGAACAAGGGAAAACAGGAGCTTTTCCCCGTGGACCGACCCATGACGCGATCCTACGCCCGGGCCCATAACAGGTCCTATTCAGCATGGAGATGTGGTGAGATCAGAATTATTGGCAGCAGTCTATGGAGTAGAAAAAGCTAAAGAAATGGGGATTACTAAGCTGATTATTTAAGGAGATTCAAAAGTAGTTGTGGGCTGGTTGAAAAGAGGGGAAGGAATCATATGGAAGTTAAGGAATGAATTCAGGAGATTCAAGCAGATTTCTAAAGATATGATGATCCAAATAAGATGGATTAGGAGGTCTGCAAACAGTTTGGCTGATGGTCTGGCAAAGCAAGGAACTCAAAGACGCTCTATGTTCTGGGCAATTCTGTAAATAGTGAATAGTTTCTGGGTGGGCTTTTTTGTGCCCACAAATCTTTGTTGTACCTCTTTTTAATCTAATGAATCAATTTTGTGTTGCTGATCAAAAAAAAAAATCTCTCCAAGAGTATAAGACTTCATGTGGTTGTTGGTGTGTGTCAAGGAAGGCTATCAGGATATACCAGCTTAGGATGCAAAATTTTGAAATTGGAAAACAAGAATGTCTTGTGTGGTCATATGGAGGAAGACTAACCAATTTTTCATCAAATGTTGGATTCCAAAGGATAATTGGAATTTTTCACATTCATCTTCAAAGTAACACTGCAGCTATTTTCATCTACTTTATTTCTACATTATTAGTAGAATCACTTAATTACCTATCAAAAGAAATGCAGCCTGCCCCAAATAGTCAGAGACTCATAATAAGGAATTGAAAAGGTGAACAATTACTGATCTAGAGAAACAATCCCATTTTATAGCCCCAGCTTTATATGTACAAGCATGTCATTCCATGCCATGTGCACACTCGTATACAATGTTCAGATTTTCTGTTAAAATATACTTGTCATAAAGAATAGGCAGAAAAATCCAAAAAGTGTTCAGTTCATTGATAATAATTTCTTACTCCAATTTCAGGGTCAACAATGCCCAAATCCTCACAAAAGGTCCTTGCAAACTCTTCAGGATCACTCTCAAGGTTGTTTAAGTCCTGTAACATGATAATTAACCCAAAATACATAAAACAAGGAGAACAAAATCTTACTATGAATATTTTAATATTCACATACTAAATCCAATTTTATGATGCAGAATAGAAGAAACCAGTTACAGAAAGTGATATTACCCACAAAAACTGATCTCTTATGATGGTACTATTTACCCGAAGGTCAAGCTGAAACAAGGAAAGAACAAGCACAGTTGGAAGTCCACATGGTAATCGTAAAAAATCTAACAGGGGAGAGGAAACCTTAGAAATTTATAACTGAAATAAATTAAATAAACCTTGATTGGAACAATCTTCTCGCCTGTATACATTTCTTGCCCTTCATATGATCGAAATTCAGCCAGCTGTGTCTGCAATGAAGTCCTAAAGAATTTAGAGATGGACAAAAAGCTGGATTATTAATAGATCTCTTTAAATAAAAAATAAAAGATAAAAAAGGAAATGATGGAGAAGTGGACATAACAAGGACTTCCCATTCAGCCACTCCTGAAAGTTTGGCGTCTCAGATGCCTTACCAATACTTCTATTTAAACAATTTATTATGTTATCTCAGGGTAACAAGGGACCACTTCGTTCAAGAAAGTGCTAAAGGTTAGGCCGGTATCCAGTCTGCCCCTCCCAAATCCTAGATAGCTGGGATCAACATCGAGTAATGGCTCTTTTTATCATATATCTCTTGTTTTTGAATGTCACCTGGGTACTACTTAAATAATCCTTTGTCTTCAGATGATATATACTAATGAAATATCAGTTTGTTTGCTCAGCTGATAAAATCTTTTAACTTTTTTAGAAGAGGTAAAGTATCAATTCATTAAAATGAAACCATGTACAACCAGTGGCTGTACAATGGGGAGTACAAATTTCATTCAAACAACTATCCCACTGGATATTACAAACAGATTTTCAAAGCCAAAAAGAGAAGTAAAGAAAGAACTATCAACAGTTAACTGTGCTGATGACCAAGAACACAGTTTTCCCACAATTTTCTGCCACACTTTGACAGCCTTAGTTTTGAAATATCCTTGAGTTTCTTTCTTGCCATATCAACCAGAAGACTGCACCTGGAATCAAATAACAGAAAATTTTTCCTTTCTTACTCAAACATTGTATCCACCACCCTTTCACAAAAGAACCCACTGAGGCTGGGCAGCAACTTCTGAATGCAAAAATCCTAAAGATCCTCACCCAAATGTTGTATTGCAATAATAGGTGGACACCTGATTCTTCTACCCTGTTACATAGCACACACCTAGGTGACTTAATCATCATTCCCCTCCTAATCAAGTTGTCTCTTGTAAGAATCGTGTTCAGGTATGCAGCCCAAACAAAGAAAGCCACTTTCGAAGGAACGTGCTTGCACCATATTCAGGAGGAAGTCTCGTGGTGCTTGTTATTTGCTGATGAAATTGTATTAAACGAAGAAACTAACAAAGGATTAAATGCAAAATTAAGTTTCTGGACAAATACCTTAGAAACATGATGTTTTATAATATGGACTAAAACAGAAAACATGCTATGCAAATTTAATAACGAAGACAATAACAGTAGCACTAACACTAACAAAAACAAGACTTTTTTGGGGATCTTTAATGGAAATGTTAATGTACAGAAACTCTTTGTACAAAGGACCATACATGCATACTTTTCTTTTCAATTCATACAATATACTTTACTTTTTCAAACAAAAAAAAAAGTAACAAAAATAATAGTAGTAGTAGAAACAACATTTCCAAAAAATGAGTGGAAAACTAGAAAGAATAGGGCCAGAAATGAAGTCATTTGGAAATTTTGTTCTTTCCTATTTGGGGTAAGAGCATTTCAGCCAAGAACTACAGCAGAAATGTTTTCTAGTTGGCCAAAGCTTAGAGATTGCAGGAAAGCAAGGATAGTTTGGAATTGTATTCCATTTACTGTGTGTTGGACCATTTGGAATTAAAGGAACAGAAGGTTGTTCAAAAACAAATCAAAGAGCATTGAGGTGCTGGTGGAGTCAGTTGGAAAACTAGTGCTGGATTGGATTTTGGTTCTCCCTGATTTTGCTCAAGTTAACTGGGCAGAATTGGGGGAGAGTTTCTGGAATATTCTTGAGATTCAAGCTTGTAATGTTGATCAGTTCACAGTGGAGTAGCTGTTTTTTTAGTTGTTTTTGTTGAAGTGTCAAATTGACACCTCTCAGATTGTATTATTTTTCTTGTTTACTGAAATCTTTTCTCTTACTCTTCAGAAAAAAAAAAAAGTCATTTGAAGGAACCTAGGAGTAGCTCCAATAGGTGAATAGGTGATAAAATGAAAGAAAGTAGACTAAGATGGTTTTACTCACATGCACAGAACACCATCTACAGCACCTGTACAAGAAGTGATCTGTTGCAAGTTGAAGGGGCTAGAAGGGCTTGGGGCAGAGCAGAAAGGACTTGAGTTGTAGTAAGAAATGATTTAAGTGCTAGTAATTTAATAATGCATATGACACTAAATAGAACAGAATGGCTTCATGTAGCCAATCCCATATAGTTGGGATAAGGCTTAGAATGATTATTCTAGTTACCACCCTTGCCCAACATCTCAGTCTTTACATTACAATCATTTAAATTTTACCATGAGGGATGACAATCATCTTTTGAACAGTAACTGTTACTGTGGATACATCTATTAGAATGGGTAATTAACTGTGCATGGCATAATTCCAATCATCATACTTGAATAGAATGGGCAATCTGCGTTATGAATGCTGGAGGGAGTTTCAAGTCCTTCACCGTCCTTTTGGCAAATACTACCACCTCTGAATCTGGATCTGCAAGATTAAAAATTCATGGAAAACAACTTACTTGGAGTCTTGAAATGGATTAGAAGTCAACAGTTACAGATATATCCTGAAGTTGAAAAACGGTCAGTGACAGCAGAAAGATGATGGTGAGCTATGACACCTTGATACTTGTACATGCCTAGTGTACTAGTGTTCAAAAAACAGAGCACATACCAATACAACACCAGACACTGCATAGACACTTCTAGAGTACACTTTATAGCATTAAGAAATGGTATGCCTTGTAAACAAAAAAAAAAAAAGTATGTATAACAAATTATACTATAAAAAACTGTATGTGTTAGATGTCTAATGATTATTGAAATTTGGCAAGATAAGAAGTCTTGATAAATGACAAGGAAAACAAAGTTTCATTGTAAAAGAGGCAAATTGTAGCCTTTCTTAAAAAAATATTTAAGCAAGAAAAATTTCCAGCCATTTTACATAAAGAAATAGAACATTAGAGTCAAAATTGGATATATATATATACATATACGTACAGGATCTTAGGTTATTGAATCATATTCCCATTTCTTGTATCTGTGTCTGTGCCAATATCCATATCTACGCATCATGGATAGTGAGTACAAATTTTGATTCAGATAATATTCTGTATATCATCATCACCATCCAAGCCTTATCCCAACTATATGGGGTTGGCTACATGAATCCTGCTTCGCTATTCTGTTCTGTTTAATGTCATATCCATTGCTCTTAAATCATTTCTTACCACTTCAACCCATGTCCTTTTTACCTATCCCTTCTAGCCCCTTCAATTTGCAACAAATCACTTCTTATAGATGTTGTGTGCTGTCAAAGGTCTTCTATGCACATGACCAAACCATCTTAGTCTATTTTCTCTCATTTTATCACCTATTGGAACTACTCCTACCTAGGTTCCTTCGAATGACTTCATTTCTGACCCTATCCTTTCTAGTTTTTCCACTCATCCATCTCAGCATATCCATTTCTACCACACTCATCTTTTTGATATGTTGTTTCTTGACTGCCCAACACTCTACTCCATACAACATAGCTAGCCTTGCAATTGTTTTATAGAATTTTCCTTTTAATCAAAGTGGTATTCACTTATCACATATGATTCCAGATGCACCCTTCCATTTTGCCTATGTTGTTCTAATTCTATGAGTGACATCCTCCTCAATCTTTCCCTTGTTTTGAATTATTGGACCAAAGTACCAGAAAAGGTCACATTGAGTTATCTCTTGGTCTCCAATCCTAAGTGTACTCTAATATGCACTCCTATTATCATTAAATTTACAATATCATATATTCTACTTTAGTCCTACTTATTTTAAAACCTCTTGTTTCTAAGGTGTTTGTCCATAAACTTAATTTTTCATTTAATCATTCATTCGTTTCATAAATTAAAACAATGTCACCAGAAAACAACATGCACCATGGAACCTCCTCCTAAATATGTTTAGTCAATTCATCTATGATAAATAAGTGTGTCATGTGTAGTTTCTACGATAAATTGTAAATGAGGTCTACAATTTAATAGTTATTTTATTTATAAGTTATGCTCAAGTAACACATTCCCTGTGGGTCATGTGTAGTTTCTGTTTTAAATGCCAGATATCATAAAAGGAAATGGTAAGAGGCAGGTTAACTGGTTAACATGGTCTACACTCTACAGGAATGGCTATGAAAAATAAATTAAAAATCCATGGGACCATTTAAAAATGTCTGAATTAGCTGAACTTAATGACTCATTGCTATGCCATTTAGTGGACAAAATATTCAAGAGCATCCTTAACAGCATATTCATTAAAAAACAAAGCAATATGCCATTCAGTTGAGCCACTTGAGTTGTTATTAAATAGTCACTAACTTCAAAGTTCTTCAGTTCAGTTAAGAACTCCCTATGCTTGAAGTTTTATAGACTCCTCACCAGCTTCTGGTCCAAGGAGAAAGGCTGGGGTAGTTGCAAAGGTTTAAGCCTTAAGCAACTTGAGACAGGAAAGAATATTACTTTGGGATGGGATCATGGGAAAAAGTGTAATTAGTCTTACAAAAGGAATCTCAAAGTTAGAGGAAATGAAATGAAAGCATGTTTCATTTGGACACTATGGGATTAAAAGGTTTAATAGCTGTGAGTGTGGAGTAAAAGAATAAGAAAAACAATGAGTTTTTTTTAATCAGATTAGCAAAATAGAAATTAGGAAATCACACTGAGTTGTGACATCACAAGCATTGTCCATACTAAGAATGTTTTATGTATAGATATTAATAGGACCACTGTATCCACGTGTGACTGATTATATTAGCAAAAGGCAAGATGTATATGAGGGGATGTACATGACACTAAAAAGGCCCCCGAAAAAGTTACAAAGGCAGTATTCTATCACTATACTATAGCTCCCTTTGAACTCCTGACTTAGCTAAGCCATCGGCCAACGTGTTTAACTCTCTGGGGGTCCATCTAAACATGGTATGCAAAAGAGCATCTGTGTCCCTGGCTTCCAAGAGGTAATAGGCCAGTCTCCAAGGCCCGTTCCCCTGCTTCCCCATCCTCTTGATGGTGTTCGCTGAGTCACCGTCCATGGTGATGGAAGAAAGGCCTAACTGTCTAGTAATTTCAGCCCCGTTAGAACGTTTTACCTGAACCACATCAATATTCGGTACAAGAGCATGGTTAGTTCTTTCTTCATCAGTCTTCTTTCTTTCAGAAAGTGATAGAATGCGTGCCTAGGTCTAGCAATACTTTTTAAACAACAGGGAAATTACTAGACTCCATGCTATGGCCCAGAAAGTTCAGAAAGGGAATTTAGTTTTGAGTCTTCGACGAAGGTTCAATATCATTTTTGTCTTATCCTGCTCATAAGTGATATTAACAGAGTGGTTTCAGTTATACTTAATAATCAAGTTCAGACAAATGCAAGCACAATGGGGTAGAAGAACCGAACATGGATTCCAATTGTGTCGAACGGCATCACCAATTTGTCCCGTCACATGGCTTCGAAAATATCCACACTAAGTTCATTGAACCACAACAAACTTACCAGCAGGGTTCCATGTAAACGCATCTTTGAAGCGTTGCCCATCGATTTCGATATCCAAACGAATCGGAACTAAATTTTCAGCAGTTGGGCTGTACAATTTGCGGACATAAATCAATGAACCTACTGAAGTTGGCTTTAAGGCTTTAAAAAAAGGAAAGAAATCTCGAAGGTTTTTTTTCTGGGTAGGAGTTAAGATAAATACAAGTTCAGGAACCAAAGGAGAAAATCGAACAGACCCAGAAGAAGAATAGACATGAAAAAGAAAGGGTAATATTCGAAAGAGAAGGGGTCGGTGGAAGGAGAACTTACAGTCTAAACTTGATAGGTGGCTTGGAAGCGACTGCTGGGAGAGATTTCATGGTTATTGAATTTGATCTTTATGTTTCGCCTTTTTCTAATATTCTTCTCTTGTCCACCGTCTCTCTTTCTCTCCGAGGATCAGACTCCAGTGACTGATCCTGAATCCTGATAATCTTCTGAAAGTTGAAACTATCTATCTGCCCATTGCCCGTTGCCGGCGAGCAGGACTCCCCTTTCTAGTTTCTATGGTTTATGGGTTTGGGTTTGGCTGTATCAATTTTAGAGCTGTAATGTGGGCCGGTCCGGTGGCGGGTCAGCACGGCCCAGCACAACAGGGGCCGTGGCACAGCACGGTCGCTACAGTTCCGCGGAATCCAGGGATTCCAGAATCCATGCCAATGCCGGGCCTAGGCTGCGGAGCGGACCGGGCCTTCAAGGCACAGCACCGCACGGCACGAGTGCGTCATGTGAATATAGCCATTAGAAGGGGTGGGTATATTTGTCTTTTTATTTTTTGAAATTTTGAATAAAATACCCCAATAGCTATAAACCGCCATGAGGGGGTTTTATGTATTTTGCATCATAGGATAAAAAATGACTTAAATACCCGTGAACTAGCTATTCAGTGGCATTTAAGTCAAATAATGTGTATAACCCCTAAAATGACTAAAATGCCCCTTTCAACCGTCATAAATAGCTAGTTTTAAAGGGTATTTTAGTCAAATTAATCCCCCCAATTCCTATAAATACCCTACCCTCCCTCATTCTCACCACACAACTCTCACACTATCTTACATATTCTCTTATTCTATTACTCTCTACAATATACATACTCGCATATTCCTAACTCTTAATTTTCTCAATTTTATTTTTCTATTCCAATTTCCAAGTTTCAACAAGGAGTTTGCTTCAAGTGTCTCAATCCCAAATCAGATACTATAATTTGCCAATTTGAGAACCTAAGAGGGTTAGAAAGCTTCATCAGATACTAGTAGTTGGATTGACTACGCAATAGATTACATTTATTTTTTTCTAAATTTTAATTTTCATTATGATGGCTGACTCTTCCCAGAATCCTTTTCCTTTTGTTGATGAAGCCCAATCTAGTAATGCCAAGTCCCGCTCTGGTAGGAAAAGGACTAGTGATGTCTAGACTATGTTTGAGATTGAGGAAATCCCTAGAAAGGGAAGAAAAGCAATTTGCAAAAAATGCAGACATGATTTCAGCTGCCACAACAGTGGCATCTAACCTGAAACTAGAAAGAGGAGGAGGAGCTTGAATGATCAATATTTGGAGATGTGCATCTACTTGAAGGATTAGGTAGATGCAGAAGATAGGCTACAAGACAAAAGAGGACATGACACCTCAACTGATAGTTCACCAAATATAGATGATAAACATAAAACTTGAAAAAGTGTTGAATCAATATTTTTTGTATTCTTATTTTTTTATTTTCAATTTTATTTGTAATGTTTTCCAATAATCCAATCACATTGTAATTTTTATATTCAATATTATCATTTTATTAATTCAACTCCATTGTATTATTTTTCAATGTATTTTTTATTCTTTGTACACATTAAATTTGAAATGAAATAAAATTTTCACATTTTTTTCCAACTTATTGTTTATTATTCATGTTAATTTTCTGCTATTATATGCTATCTTTTTCTAATTTTTCTTAGTTTAGAAAAAAAAAATAGGACCGGCCTAAGCCTAGCCTCCATGGCCCGATATGGCACGGCCCGACACAATTGCGAACCGGGCCACAGGTTGTGTTGGGTCTAACCTGGGAGGGAGACTGTGTTGCCCAAGCATAGCCAACCTAGGCTTGAGGGCCGACACAACATGGCATAGATGGCGTCCATGTCACCTTCAATCCATGTTGTGCCAGCATAGCACAATCCACATTACAAGTCTATGTATCATCATGATTCGTGTACTAGCAAAAGTCCCATATGTCTTAAGTCCATGACTTTCCAATTTTAATCACACTAGGCAAGCTACAAGCAATAGGCCCCCACAAAATGTCGTAGTCTATTAGTGATTTGTAGTCCTAACAATTATGTCTCCTGTTCACTCGTAACCAAAACATTCCACTAGAAGACTAGGGAATCAATCATCTTCAAAGGCCAAAGTGTCATGGGGTAAACTTGTGCAATGACCCATGCAGCATCTAGGCTTATGCGGCTAGGACAAGTCTTTTGTGTGTAACAATCATGTGTCAACCTGCTGAATGGTTCCATCAAAGTCAATGGAATTAAATCATGACCTCAAGTACACATGGCCAAGACTTTGTATGTGTGTATGTGTGTGTCCTTTTCAGTCCATGGGAGGTGCCATTTACATGCCAAAGGGGAATTATGCCAATGTTTAGATGCTAGGCAACCATTAGGCCTTGGAACACATGTGTTCTTGGATGACAAGATAACTTGATCAACTTAGACATGGGAATGGCGAAGTGTAGGGGCATGCTTAGGCTAAACCCACATGCAAAGCTTTCGCTTCATGTGCAATGTGCATTATTGATCCAAGCATTATCCCCATGAGTGATTGTGTATCCATGAAGAACCCTAGTAATCATGTCGCCATTAATTAAGCCTGCCTTAGGCCAATTGGATATCCAATTGAATTCAAATCAAATATGGATTGATTCAAAGTAAAAACTAATTACGCAAGGGACGATTCAAATTCGATTGGATATTCGACGGATCTTTAAAACAACCAAGTGAATTCGAATTCGTCTAGTAAATCAAATATTTGAATTCAACTCAAATTCGATTGACATGAAATGAATACAATAAAAATAAAAGCATATCGGTGGCAGTGAGATGTTAGGACAATACTGTTGTAATAAACCATTAAACTTAGTAGAGATTAGGTTCCTAACAATCTCAATCTTAATATTGAAGAAATAAACTTTGAATTTCAAGTACAAAAATAAAAAAACAAAGTAGGGATTCAAGATTGGTCTCTTAATCCCATACGGTAATGGAAAAAAAATGTTCTTATGTTGCAAGACGGAAGGACAACGGCGATGGATCTAGAGAGGTATTCAATGCCGAGAGTGATGACAATGTGAACAACCGTGGTTTTGCTAAAGGTTTTTTATCATAGAGTCGCATAATTCAACATGGCTATAACTTGTGATCGATGGTGCTTCTCCGGTGAGATATTTGAAGATATGATTCATCAAACCTCTAAGTTGTGAACCATGGCTGCCATCCTATGGCTTGCTGACCACTGCTTGTGTGTGTGTGAGAGAGAGAGTGAGAGTGTGAGAGAGACCGATGGCTACCATCCCTTGCTGACCACCGCCTAAGAGAGATGAAAAGACGGAAGAGGGATTTCAAGATCTGCAACTAGGAAGAATAGCCAAATGGAAATGGAGAGAAACGAAGAGGAAAATCAAATCAAAAAGTAAAGACAAAAGAGATGGGCGGGTTTCCCCTTAAAAATGTTAAAATATCAAATTTTCTTTCAAAAATTAATGATAGCTTCTCTATGAATTGTCATTTCATCGATTTTTAATTATTAAAATAATATTACAAAAGGCGGTTTTATAAAAAATCATCATGGTTTGTCATTCAATCAGTAGTAAAATAATATTTAAAAATGAATATTCAATAACACAAATATCAATATATAGATATATTATTTATATATTTACAATACCTATAACCGAATCAAATATTTGTCAAATTGAATCGCCTAATATTTGAATTTGATTCGATTAAATAATCGGTATTAAAATCACATTTGAATTCGACTATTCATCCCAATCGAATTATGTAATTTGATTCGTTTAATTCAGTTATCGAATTTGAAGTGGAATTTTCGAATACCATTTACAAGCTTAGACTACCCAACAAGGGATGTTGGTCTTTGAAATTTCATGGGTAGGCATTCAAGGAGGTCAACCACCCCTTATCAAAGAAGATGTTAATCTTTTGGAGGTTTACCAAATAGATTAAGCCTGTTTCAAACCATGATAGGCTCCCCCACTCAATCCATTGTTGTCCTCGGCAATGAGATCCTTGGTGAATGAGTGTTTGTCCTACCTTATCCACACACTCTAGTTTAGCTGCTCCTTGTTGCAGATAGAGTCGCTTGGTCAACCTAGGTCTCGCCTATGCTGGTCTCCATGTCTAATATGAAACTATTTCACCATTCCAGCCTACCTAGACTTTACATTCCATTTCAGGGTTGCTCAAACCACGCAATGGCTATGCCCTTTGTGTGTGTTGAACCTTAAAGATGTTGTGTGTGTAATGTTTCAAGGAGGCCCACCTCGTCTTCTCCTTACATCAAAGGCTTGACCCACTCCTTGGTAACTTTTCAGTGGTGCTACCAAACACGCTATGATGGTCTTCACCTGTTGTTGGGATCCTTTCTTGGAAAACAAATTCACCATATTAGCCTATAAACTCCCTCTCGAGTTAGGGTTATTCAAACCATGCCATGGTTTATGCTCTATTCACTTCAAGGGGTCCCTTTCCTATTATGCCACAAGGTCTTGATCATGTTCTATCCTATATAATGGCAGCTTTTACCCATGATGCTGCCAAACATGCACCCACTAATGTGATGTGTTGTTTCTGCAAATGTTCCACCTTATATGTTGAGCATGTTTGTCGATGCATGTGCTACCTATTGTGTCGCCATGCTTCAATAGCAAGTATACCAACATTCCTAACATTCCAATATTGTGGTTTCAACTTGAGATCCTTTTTAGTATAAATGCTACCACCCCACTGATATTCCTTGACTAACCATTTGAAGGGAAGGGAGATCCATCATATGGATGGCCGAACCATGCAGGGTGGCTAGGCGAAATTTAAAAAATTTCTTTCTTCCATCCGGGAATCCTATTCCTTGATTTAGAAAAACTGCATTTTTCAATGTTCGTTCTTGAAACAAACCAGACCAAATCTGAAACCAATATTAGGGAGATGAATACCTTATACGGAATCCACACAAGAAGCTCCTCCCAACGTAGGTTTTCACGCCCAAAAAAGTTACCAAATCCTTCCTCCACTAAATATGACACAACTTAGGGTGAGGTAGGATCAACAAGGAAATTCTTTAGCAAGAACCCTAATTCTTTAGCAAGAATCAACTAGGGATGTGAGCACAGGTTCAAGATTGACTCAACTAGCAAGAATCAATATCAAGATCCAATCTTAATCACTCCAAGAACTGGAGATCGAATAGGGTAGGGCGGCAAGAGTAGAGGGAGAGAGAACT